ATACGTTTGAAGGTTTCAGAAAAAAACAAGCTGCGAAGTCTCAGGAACCTACTCAAGAAATCATGGAACCTGAAATAGAAAAACCGTCAATTGACGAAATCAATATTTCGAAAAAAAATAAAAAATCGAAATGTCAAGATAAAACGTTTAAACGTAAAAAAATATGAATTGACGAGAGGCAAATCACAAGAAACTTTTGTGAATTTTTTTTTTTTACGTTTCTTATTATAGATTTCTATTGTTAAATATTTTTGTAAAATTCGTGTAACCTTATTAACCAATCACATGAAAATCTTCCTAAATCACCGATTTAGTATTATTTATTATTTATAAGGCAATTATTTTTTTTAAAAAAAAGTGTTATTTTTCACTTTGTCTGTGTATAGGACCGACAACTTTTCTAAAGAACAAGAAAAATTCACTTTGTATATTAAAGAATAAGGAAAAATTAATTTTCACTTATTCTGTCAAAGAACAAGAAAATTAGACTGTCTAAAAGAACAAGAAAATTTAGTCCGTCTAAAAGATCAAGATTCTTCAAAGCATTCCTTCACTGATGCAAACGTCACTTGGGGATCCTGTACCAAATGATTGTAATATTAGTGAGTCATCCAATTCAAGTGATAATTATTATTTGCTGGGTAAAAAAATGGTTTTTCTAAAAAGTACAATAGAATTATCTAAAAGAACAAGAAAATTTAGTACGTCTAAAAGATCAAGATTCTTCAAAGCATTCCTTCACTGATGCAAACGTCACTTGGGATCCTGTATCAAATGATTGTAACATTAGTGAGTCATCCAATTCAGTGATAATTATTATTTGCCGGGTAAAAAAAATGGTTTTTCTAAAAAGTACAACAGAATTATCTAAAAGAACAAGAAAATTTAGTCTATATAAAGGACTAGAAAATTGTTCTGTCTAAAAGAACAAGAAAATTAGATTGTCTAAAAAAAAAAAAAATTTCACAAAAGAAAAAATATAACTTTCTATTTCATAAAATGTACCTATTGTTCAGGCTTTTTGGGTTAAGTTACCTTATTTTATGGTTTTTTGATAAATTTTGAGAAGAAGGAAAAACATCAAATCAGATATTAAGATTTCGAATGCGTGAATTTTGGTTCATTCTGAAGCGTCAAAAGCGTTAAAATATTTCAGCATCGCCAAACTTGACCAGCTTGATTAATTAATTATCCAAGTTTTTTGGGGGGTAGAATAATAAGATAAGGTTTATTTTACATTTTGGTGTAGGTTTTTACGGGACAGTTTGGACATTTGGACATATTAGGAAACATAATAGGAATGAGCTTGGAAAACTTGATTCATTTAGGAAGGGAATATCTGAAAAAAAAAAATCCTTTATAAGACAATAAACTAATTTTTTTTATTTTCAAACCAAATAATCAATTGATTCCGATAATATAAACATGAACGTTACCGCTTCATCGAGGCGTCAGAAAATTGCAGCCAAAAGCCTAGTAAGGATCGAAAGAGCATAAATTTTGTGCAAAGAATATGTTTGAGGGAAACTTTGTGCAAAAATTTGTTTTAGATAATTTTGTGCAAATAATGTTGAGGGGGAACTTTTGTGATTCATTTTTGGTGTCGAAATGTTCCCCGTGAATAGGAACGATAATTAAATGTGTAAGAACACATTCTTTATTTATCTTGGAGCGAGTCATCAGGAGGAGAGTATCTGTATTTCATTTGTCTCTGTTGAATCCCAAAGATTCTCATGATTTTAATTTCCAAAGTTCGATAATATAATATTTGGGAACTTAATAGTTGAGCGTTTGGTAAAATTTGTATATTTTCATTTTTCATTTCGGCTTGGATTCATCAAACCTCTGATGATCCTTTACGCTTGATGCTCTCTCTAGCAGATTAATAACTACCGAACCAGAAATATCAAATCTTCCAAGAGTCGAATTAAAAGAGCATTCAAAATAAGGAATTGTGGATCATTAGTTTCTTGAGGTACTAAATCTCTATTCTCGTCTTCATAGTTTGGAAGTTAACCATCAAATTTGCTCCGCATCTATCTGCTTCAAAATTAGCACGCCCACTTTTTACTGTTTTTCTTGTAAAGATAAAAGTCAATTGGAAATTGTAATAAATAATAAGAAATAGATTCAATATAAATACTTTTGAATGTTCTTGTATTAAGCACTCATGATAAATAAATACCATTTCTCCCATCGTTAGAGCAATTTGAATAATTTAATGGAACAATCAAATATTTTTAAAGTGAACTTAATAGGAAAATTATTAAGGATTGCTATTTGAATTTAACGAAATTTTTATGAGCCGAGTTCGTATCGGTGGTAGTCGTTGGGGTCATTTGTGATAACTATTTTTGATCTCTTCTAAACCTTCTGTTGCACGTGTCGGTGATTGAGTGAAGCTGTTGTTCATCAATAGAAGATTCATTAGGCGGTCTTTAGTTGATCGAAGGAAGATATCTTCCAAATCTAATATATATTATCCTGGGATGGTTTCGCGTCCGGTAGAAGCTTCTATGGTCGCCAGTTTATGTCTACTAGGTTTGCAGTAGTCGACCAAATACTTGGTTATTGATAGCATTAGTAGGGATGAAAGATGATCCAAAACTTTCCTACTCCTAAATGTAGAAAGGCTTCATTAGCACTAGAGGTTATGAAAACAAAGATAAATTCTAAAGTCAAGTCTAATATGAGCTTTTCTAAACCAATCCGTTTCTAAAAGTAAAGTTTCATTCCGAGAATAGATAACCCGCTTACGTTCATTACGGAACACCCGAAGCTATCATAATTATTCCAGTGAGAGGGAATGTCATCAATCCAAATTCCAATGTCTTTATAAAGGCCGAATTAACTTTTTTAATCTTGAAAAGAAACAAAATAAATGAATCGAAAGAAAGTCACTGTACTGTGATGCACCCTATTTCGAAAGGTTGAATTTTGATGTCGGTTAATTCTTCGAGGAGATAAAAGCCTTGACTTGTAAGTTACTGTAGTCGGATCGGTTTCATCCATCTTAAGGATTTCGGTTATCTTTTTCGCGGTATAATCCTATAATCTTGTACTTACACATTTCCGTTCCACGTGATTCCGACCGGCATTATGGCGTTAAGAAATTAACCATGTGATGGATGTATTTCACCACCTAAAAAATATTCTGTTCCCAGAAAATAATAAAAATGAAAAGTTAATTGATTTATGCTTGAATTCAACCTAAACATATATACATCCTTCTGAATGAGACATTAGTCCAACGAGTCTTAAACTCCCTAGTCCCCATCCAGGATATCGATATTTCAAAATTCGTCTTAAAACAGATACATAGATTCCTATAAGGTCAATATATTACTCTGGAATACTGTGGAAGAAATCCATATACCTTATATGCTTCTTTCGATCCTAATTTGCCTTTCCGAAAACTTTATAACGCTTGGATAATAATACTATGCGTTCTTCTTTTTATTCAATAATCTGTTGTCCGAAAAACTCGGTTTAAACGAATGGCCAGTGGCTTAGAAATTTGTTTAACGATACACATGTTACACAATTTTTTTTATGAAAATGACGAGTCCGTTTTGGACAATTTCTTTGAAGAACTGTTGGGAACATTCTATAAAAAGGTAATTATGAATTTGAAAAGCATTAAAGTTTTTAAACATTTAATAATATATATATACCTTTTATTTTATATAATATTATAATAGATATTTGAAAGTTCAACTTAAAATGCATCTTTTAGCACAAATAAAAATTTATTTACTGCTACTATTAACAATAAATCAACAAAAAATAATAAACCAGAAATTTATAGTAGTTAGTATAATAATAGGACACAAAATGTCAGTTGCGCAAGTACAAGGTCAACGTTTTATGGCACTAAGTACTGCTCGAGTTCGCATCGAACAACGGCAAAGGCAATGAATGAACAGTAAGTTAAAAATAAATTTTTTTATTTTTTGTTTATATATATACTAATTTTTAATCCTTTTTTTTTTATTTATAGCATGGATGGGCGGAAAAAATATTTTCCATCCTTTGGAGTTTATGTGTTAGTAATTTTTTCTTCGTATCGTTTATCGTTATAAATATTAGTATTATAAAGTTTATTGCATATTTATATTTAGAGAATTTATTATTTTATTATTAAATAAAGATAACTGTTTAAATTATTTGAAAAACATTTTCATAGTATTAATAATAAGTTTTACAAGTGTATTTATAATCTATACTGTTATGTATAGTCTATTTAAATCTTGTTAATATTTTAAACTTTTTAATAATTTCACTCATTTTTTTTTTGCTAAAATAATTATTAAGTGATCTTATATTATTAAAAAAAAAAAAAATAAAGAAATAAAAATTAAATAATTGATTTAATTTTAAATAATTTATATAAATTAGATTTTCTATTAAATAATACTATATTATATAATAAAATAAAGATTTTATTAATAATAAAATATAAAAAAAAATAAATATAAAAATTTTAATATATATTATATTAATATATAACTAACTATATTTTAGTAAATCATAATTAAATAATGTTATAATTAACCTTATTTAATTTTATTAAAGTAAAAATGATCATTTAATCTTTACAATTTTATTATTAATACAACATTTAATTTATTTTAATATTTTAATTTTTATTTGTTTTTATTTAAAAGATTAATATACTAATATTAAAAATGAAAATAGTTTGTCATTTTTTTTTTATCTTTACAGTTTAATATAAATAATAATTTGATTTTTTGTTAATGTAATATAAAGTATATATAATTTTATAATATTCAACTTTTTATACAATTTTCTTAGCATTTTTTTTTATAAAACTTTCTATAAATTTTATTATAAAATAAGTTTATAATATCATAATTAATTTATAATATTATAAGTAACATTTTATATTATATAACAAATATATACTATTTAAAATTTTGTAATTAATTAATTTATTATTAAAATAATTAATTTAATATAAATAATTTAAAATATAATAATATTATATTCTTTAATTTTTATATTTTTAAAATTTATATTATTATAATTTTATTAATATTATTAATTAATTTTATTATTATTATATTAATTATAAATATAATAATTTATAATTTATAATATATTTTAATAATATCAATATATAAATTAATAAATTTATATACATAATTAAATAATAAATTTTATAATATTATAAATTTATAAAATATTATTTGAATAAAATATTATAAATATCAAAATATAAATAATAATATAGTGACAATCATAAATAATGTACTAAAAAAATAAAATCCTTTAAATTTAAATATTTCTTTCAATTCTAAAAATATTCTGTCCTCTTTAATAAATTTTTATTTATTAATATCATTATTTTTTAGTATTAAATTTTTAATATACATTAATAATTCTGTTTATAAAATAATATGAAAGTAATACAAATTACGCATTGCATTATTTTTGATTTTTTTTGACATAAATCAGATGATCATTATTATGCTATATAAAATTATATAAAAAGATATTTTTTTTATTTATTATTTATTTCCATAATATGTTACAACTACTTAATAAATAAGTAGTAGCAAAAAAGTATCACATAACTTCTAATGAAAGAGTACAAATTCTTCTTTTATTACAAAATAGACACATAACTAAAGAAATAGCAAAGGCTCAAAAAATTGCATCTTTTACAATTTCTCGTATTAAAAAAAGATGGCTTAAAACTAACTCTTTTGAAAACTTAGCAAGAACAGGTTATTCACTTACTGTAAATGATTTAGTACAAAGAAGAATTGTTAACCTTATTACTTTTTAGAGGTATTTATTAGCTGTTGAAGTATGAAACTGATTACAAAAAAAGAAAATCTTGACTTTTCAATATATACTATTCATTATGTACTTTAAAATAATGGATTAGTAGCAAGTATTAAAAGAATAATGATATACCTTAATAAAAAACATAAAAAATCTTGATATAATTTTGCAAAAAAGTATGAAAATTAGACTGTTAAGGACTAATTAAAAGTAATATAATCTGATGAATCAAAATTCAAGATTTTTAGTTTTAATAAAAAGCAATATTACTGAAAGTATCCTGAAGAATTAATAAAAGACTATCATATTAAATTTACAGTAAAATTTAGAGGTAGGTTAGTTATAATATAAAGATATTTTATATCTCGTAATATTAGTGGTTATTATAAGATTAATGGCATTATGAATATTAACTTATATCAATAAATTCTTTATGAAAATTTAATGGATACTATCAGGATACATGATTTTACTATTAAAGACATTATTTTTTAATATGATGGAGATCTAAAGCACACAGTAAATTTAATAAAACAATATCTTAAGAGAAATAAGATAATAGTCCTAGATTGATCATCCCAATTCCTAGATCTGAACTCTATTGAATATTTATGAAACGAGATTGACTATTAACTAAGATATCTCTCTAGATAAATTTCAAGTAAAGAGAACTTATAGAATAAGATACAGCAGGTCTGAAAAAAAATTTAATGTTAAAACTTGTACTAATCTAATTCAGTCTATGCTAGAAAGAATTTATGATATTATTAAGGCTCAAGAAGAATATACGAAGTGATAATTATATCAAATTTAAAATATATTTTAAAAAAGAATAATGTTGCAATATACTAATTTGAAATGTATTAATTATTATTTGAGATGTGTTAAAAATAAAAATAAATAATGTAACAGCATTATCTGAATAATTATATAGTTTAAAAAATAATTTACTTATTAATTTATATTTAAATTTTAGTTTAGGAAATAATATTATTATTAATTAAAATAATAAAAAAAAAAATTAATTATTTCCATAATTACAAAAAATATTTTATTTTAATGAAATTTTTTTTTTGTTGCATAATTTATGATCACCACTGTATGTAATATTAATAATAATTAAATTAATAATAAATAAATAATATTAATTTATTAAAAATAAATATATAATTATTTATATAATATATTAATTTATTAAATTATTATATTAATTATAAATATTTTATTTATTTATTATAATTATATAATTTAAAATATAACAAATTATTAAATAATTTTTAAATAAAATAAAGAAGATTATTGTATATATATCTTAATGTAAAGATTAAGATAATTCTAATTAGATATTTAATTTAAAAATTAATATTCAAATAAAAAATAAAATTTGAAATAAATAATTCTAGCTAGAATTAAATAAAAATTTATAATAAAAATTTAATTAATTAATATATATTATTATATATATTATATCTATTTATAAAATATATAATAAAAAAACTTTTATATTAATATATAATAAAGAGAATTTTTTATTTAAAGCTAGAAATGAATCATATCATAATGTTAATATTTAAAAAAAATTTATTTTTCATAATTTTTAATAATTAGTTTATAATATTATTTTATTAAATATGCAGAATTTGTTAATATAATATTTAAAATTATATTTTATTTTCAATTATAAATTTCTCTATTATTTTGAAATTTTTTTAACATTTAGCATTTTATATTTTCTTTAACAATAACTCATAAAATTTTTCATTATATTTAAATTAGATTATTCAAGAACTAGTCTATAACTTTAAAAAATTGTTTTAGAAAAATTTTTCAATAAGATGACTATTATATTTTAGGTTATTATTTTGTTAAAGTTAATAATCATCACTGAATATTATTTTAATTTCTAAAATATGATTCTTAAGTATTTTAACATAAAATTCAATATTTATAATTTAATAAAAATAAAACAAATTTATTTTATCTTATTGATAAAAATGTTGAAAACTTTAAAAGAATCATAATAGTTTACTTTATTAAAACTTACTAGCAGATTTTAGTAAGTTAAATTAAATTCAAAGAATAGGAAGATGGGTTACCTTTATTATAAGATTTAAAATATATAAAATTAATATTATATCTTTTAGATTTTATAATACACTTGTGACTTTTTAAGAATTAATAGATACTATTTTACTTAATAT